ATGAGGGGGCCCACGACTACGGCGTCTTTGCTCGCGGCTCGCCGTTGTCCCGCGTATGAGGCGCCAGGAACGCTCGTTGGAGCGGAGCGCCATGGATCCCCCGCGGCCTCTACCGCTCGGCCTTCTGCCCAGTTCACGGCCAAACTGGCGCCCGGGCAGGCGGCGAATTTTTATTCAGTTTCGTGTTCGGTCAGCCGCGCGGCGTCCCACTGGCTTCGGCGGGCACCCCATGCGCGGCGGCGGAGGCTAGGGCCCCCAGTCTTGATGCCATCTTGGTTTTTTGGGGTACCCCTGTGGGCCCACTCTGCTTATTAGTGGCGCAGCAGTCAACGCGTTGTCTCCAGGGAAGCACCCTTGGCCAGGTGGTCACCCAAGGCTAAGGCACCCTGCCGAGCTTCGCCTTGTGCTGAGGTTATGGTTGGCGTGGGCCTCGTGGTGCGTGACATTTTTTGTGGGCGACCGACCGCACGGCGGCTGATTCCATTGCGCGGCACGGAAAATGGGCATCCTTTCTCTATGCCTTCCCCCCTTTTTCTTGCGAATGGTAGGTTGTCCGCCCGGGAATCTGATCTTGTGAGGGCTTCGCCTATAGCTTTAGGATTCTTCGGCCCGCTGCCGTGCTTGTTTCCGTCTTTTTCCTCTCACTTGCGTAGTGGCTTGTTGGGCGCGAGCAGGCTGCATTTGTTTGTCCCACCCTCCATACGCTTCCGCCCTGCAGTGGGCGCGCTGCGGGCCGCATGTCGGCTGATCCACTTTGCGCCACGGAACAATCGTTCCCCTTTTCTTGTGCCTTCCCTCTTCTTTTTCTTGTACATGGTAGGTAGTCCGCCCGGGAATCGTCGAAAGGGCTCCGAAAACGACGCCAAAAGGTCACCGAAAAGGTTTGAAAACGGGGAATGCAACCGAAGAGAGATACGGAGATGGTGACAGTTAGTTTTGGGGCTTCTCTCCGGAGTCCCGCTGGGCGCGCTCCAGGCGGGCCAAGAGGGCGCCAGAAGGACGGCCAGATGAGACAAGATGGCTCCAAGAGGCCTTCTGCACGGCTCGGGATGGCTGGAAGATCTATGCCCACGCATCCGGAAGAGTGTCAGAAACGGCTCCAAGAGAGCTTCAAGAAACGCAAAAGGAAACCCTAAACGGCCATCATCATTCAATCCATTGTGTTGCTGCACATTTGCAGGTTTTTAGCATTTTTGGGTTGTCGGCTCATCATGATTCGAAGAGGGCTTCAGAGGGGTCCGAGACGGCCCCAGTGGGCTCTGGGCACGGGCCAAAAGACCCCAAACAGGCTCCACGGGGCTCGAAAGACTGCCCAGGAGGGCCTCTGGAGAGGCCACAAGCGGCACCCGCAGGCGTCCAGAGGTCTCTTGTGCGAAGGCGTGTGTGGGTTGAGGTTAGACTTGCGGACAGCGAGCGCCCCCTCCGCAGCAGGGGCCCACGGGCTGGCCGAATGAGCAGGCCGCTAGGAGGGAGGTCCCCAGGAGGGGTTTCGAGGGCTCCTTGGCAGGACACGGGTACGAGGAGTGAGTGTGTAAGATGACTGATGGGAATGAGTCCTTGCATACCATGCGGCGGGGATCTCACACGCCGCGCTCGGTGGGGCGGCGGATCGCTTCGCCCATTCCGCCGGCCCAGGCTGCATGCAGTGCTTAGTGGCCTTCGGCTAGACTGGGTCGTGGACCAGAAGCCTCGTTGGGAGGCTTGTTGGGGTCTCTTGCGTGGCTTCTCGGGGACCTCTTGGGCGGCACTTTGGGGTCTCTTGGGGGTCTTTGGGGGCCTCTCGGAGGTGTCTTGCGGCCGCCCTGGGATAGGCACGCCCCCTCTCACGGCGCTGAGGTTTCATGCTATATCGTCTTTCGTCTGTTAAAGCGGCGGCAAAGCGCCGCCGCCGCCGTGGTCGAACCCTCGAGTCTACAGGCGAGTTTCGTTGATCAATGGAAGTGGTTCTGTGCGCTCTCCGCCCGTCGTGGACTACGATTTCTACGGAAACGGGGCCCCCGCTTGAGCACGGGCTTTGTTTCCAACCTGATTTGTGGAAGGCCCGACTACGACGGTCCGATTGGAGGCGCGAGGAGCGTGGACGCAGGGCTAAAACTTCTGCGTCCCTCGAGGCGCTGCTAACTAGCAGAGAGGTTCGCAGCGGCCAGCCCAGCGCCACTCAGTCCGGTGCGGCACGTGTCTGGTTCCAAGAGAGAGCGGGGGCACCGTTGTCCCCGTGCAGGTCCGAGGACGTGCGAGTTGCACGCGACAGCCAACATGGTTTCTCCCTCCTCGCCTGGTGCCTTAGCTTCTCGGCGGTGCCTTCCGCTCGAGCCGACGACCCCCCTTCCATAACGTAACGCTCCGGCCCTCAGTGCGCCCCGGGCACTGCCGCCGTGCGCGTAGGGATCCGCAAAGGAACCCGAATGGGATCCGAATAAGCATCTGCACAGAGTCCGCATAGGGGTCCGCATGGGGATCGCATATAGATATCCATCGGGATCCGCATTGGGATTCCCAGGGACCCTGATAGAGATCCACATTGGGATCTGCATAGGGATTCGCATAGGGATCCGCCTGGGGATCCGCATAGGGATCGACAGAGGCATCCGCACAGGGATCCGCATAGGTATCCGCATAGGCATCCGCATAGGCATCCGCATCGGGATCCGCATAAGGATGCAGGGATGCCATTAGGGATCCCCAGAGGGGTCCTCATAGGAACCCGCATAGGGGCGGTGGTCGCGGGCAAGTTGCGGTGCTCTCAGGCACTTGTGATGTTCGTAGGAGAGAGAGAGAGAGAGAGAGAGAGAGAGAGAGAGAGGAGAGAGAGAGAGAGAAGAGACAGAGAAAGAGAGAGAGAGAGAGAGCAATAGAAGGATAAGGACGAAAACAACAACAACGACGACGACGACGATAGAGGAGGGAGGTAAGGAGCATACCTCTGATACGCCACGTGGAGGCAACGACGCCTTCGCAGGCATGTGCTCGCCACAACTCCTCGTCGCCCTTCGTTGTCGATCGTCGTCGTCGTCGCTCTTCGTTGTCGGTTTTCTTCGTTGTCGGTCGTCGTCGTTGTCGTCGTCGTGGTCGTCGTCGTCGTCGTCGTCGTCGTCGTCGTCGTCGTCGCTTGTCGCTCGTCGTTGTCGTCGTCGTCTTCGTCGTCGTCGTCGTCGTCGGTCGTCATTGCTCGCGGTCGCTCGTTGTTGCTCAACGCCTTCGAATGTTTTCGAGGGCGTGTCGAGGCCTTCGGATGACCTCCGGAAGGCTTCTGGAGGCTTCCAGAGGCCTCAGGAGGCTTCTGGAGGCCTTGGGAACCCCCTGGAGACCTCCAGAGGCGTCGCTCGTCGTCGTCGTCGTCGTCGTCGTCGTCGTCGTCGTCGTCGTCGTCGTCGTCGTCGTCGTCGTCGTCGTCGTTGTCGTCATTGTCGTCGTCGTCGTCGTCGCCGTCGTCATCTTCGTCATCGTCGTCGTCGTCGTCGCCGTCGTCGTCGTCGTCGTCGTGGTCGTGCGCGCGGACGCTGTGGAGGCGCCGGAGCCGCACGGCTGGGGGGGGCGTTACGTTATGCCCTTTCCCGCCCCCCCCTTAACGCCCGTTATCGCCGCGAATCAGGAAAGGCGCTCCCCGAGAGAGAGACGTTAACCCCGCACGGGGAAGGACTCAGCTTTGATCCGTTTGCTCCTCCCATGCGTCGTCGCCCGTCGCCCACCCCGCCGCACGCGTCGCGGCGGTGGGCGACTGGGCGCCCGACGTTCCAGGGGAGGGGCCTGTTGGGGGCGTCCCCAGTCGAGGGTTGACTCCCCGCCATCGTCGAACTGGACCCCGGTCGGCTCTGCCTTCCTGGGGTCGCAGCGGCCTGCGCCTTCCTGATTGTCCTCCTCATCCCCATCCTCCGCCTCCTGCTGCTGCTGCTGCTGCTTATCCTCCTCCTCCTCCTCCTCCTCCTCCTCCTCCTTCTCCCCCTTCTCTGTTCGACAGTTTGTCGGAAACAGTTTAGAAGCACTCACACATCATATATGGTTTGAACTCCCCCCTTCCCCTCGAATGCTACAGGTGTCGGAAGCACTGAAGCAACACTCGCGCAAGCACTGAAGCAACACTCGCGCATAGCATATAGTTTAAACTCCTCCCCTTCCCCTCCCCGAATGCAATGTTGGTTTCGGATCTTCCGAGTTCGAGGGTAATGCGTAAATGTGTCAACTCTGAATTGCGGGGGAGGGGGGAGTGCTGCTTATTTGTTTCCTCAACTGGACGGCACCCCAATTCTGATGACGCAGCAGCCGATGGATCAATTCCTGCAACCGCCATTCGAGCATCAAGATCCTCCAGGACGCCCCAGCCCTGGTCGACTGACAGGAAAGGAAGCCACGCGGTTGGCAGGGGATTGGTGGCGGGGCGATGGCCGATGAGGCGCGAGCGTGCTAACAGTATGCGCATCCAACATCAAACCAGCTGGCTAGCAGGTGCCCCACAGAAGTGTCTTATCACGGGATGGTACCCAGGGCCGACGATAGCCCTTGGGCACCAACAAAGATTCAAACCTCGGCGAAGACTGCGAGATTTCTTCTCGTATGTGTCTATCTTGATGTTTGTTTCTCTCCTCGCTTCTTTCTTCGTGAGCGTTTCGCCGCTGGTTGCATCGCGCGCGGCGTTCCCAGCTTGCCCGGCGGTGGTTCCGCCTCGCGCCACGGTGCCAACCGTGCAGTGCATGCTGCTGTTGCGCTGGTTGGGCGACAACTCATCCCCGCTCCTCTCCTCCTGCCCTCCCCTCCCTCCCCTCTCCTGCCTCCCCCCTCCTCGTCGTCGACCCTGCTGCCCTTGCTGCCGCCGCCGCGCCGCGGCCGTCGCCGCCGCCGCCAGCGCCGCCGCCGCCGCGCCGCCCTCTGATGCGCCGCCGCCGCCGCCGCCGAGCCCGGCGCGGCAGGCTCGGCCAGCGTTGGCGGGCCCCGTTGCCGCCGCTGCGCCGCGCCCGCGGCCGCCGCCGCCGCCGCCACGCCGCTGCCCCTGCCGTGCCCAGCAGGCTCGCTGGCGCACGCGGGTTCCGCTGCGTCCACTGCCCTTGCCCCGCCGAGGCAGCCGCAGGTCCCCCCGCCGCCCCTCGCGGGTGGGAGGGGCCTTCGAGGATCGAGGTCGAGGCTCGAGGCTCGGGGCCTCCGTCCGTGCCTCGGCCGCGGGCCTCGCCCGCGGAGGCGAGCTCTGCCGCGGAGGCTTCTCGAAGGGTCCTCCGCCGCAGCGCTTTCGGCCTCGTCGGCTTTGAGCCTTCCATATTTTGGGTCCCCTGGTCCCCTCCTCCTCCTCCTCCTCCTCCTCCGCCTCCTCCTCCTCCTCTTTCCCTTCCTTTTGCTGCTGTTGCTGCTCCCTCTCTAACCTTCTCTTCGTTCTCCTCCTCCTCCTCTTCCTCCTCCTCCTCTTCCTCCTCCTCCATCTCCTCCTCCTCCTCCTCCTCCTCCTCCCCATCCTCTTCAAACGCCTCCCCATTATCCTCCTCCTCCTTTTCCTCGTCTCGTCGTCGTCGTCGTCGTAGTATTCCTCCTCCTCCTGCGGAGGGTACTGGCGCTCCTCCTCTTCCTCCTCCTCCTCCTCCTCCTCCTCGGATCGGATCGGATCGGATCGGACTGGAGCGGACATGAGGGCAGAGTCTGGAGGCCCAAACCACGTGTGAGACGAGATGGAGACGGGAGCAGGAAATACAGCAGTGAAACGCCGAAGCTCTATTCCCGCAGTCAGGTAATTCTGATGGCGCGCAAGCCTCAATCATTGATTTGGCACCACGAGCTACGGTCTCGAAATTAACGTACACTGGACAGGAGCAAGTGGAGCAACGAGAGCTGGAAGAGAAGAACCTTGGCTCGGTCTTGATTCGGTTCTGCCAGCGGCGAGCGAACACACAAGTTGTCCGCACCATATACTTCATACCTTTTTAAAATTGGTGTACATTGACAAAACCCTTGGGCTTGGCAAGCCTTGGGCAGAGGACCCTTCCCTATCAAGACAAGGCGCACAAAAAGAGGTAGACAGCAACGAGGGGAGGTGGCATTCTACAGTCGATAGGTTCGTGTGGGTCGAGTGGTGAGTATATTTTAAACAGGCCACTATCCGCCCCTGCATCCAATAATAATTGCTGTTGAAGCTGGTGTTCATCGGATACCGTCCAGGCTGTCGGCTGCAGGCTTTGGGCGGTAAGAGCGGTCAAAGAGATCGGGGAGAGGGAGACGATGGCGGGATATTCGCTCCGCGCTTTCACAAGCAACGACCGCGCGAGCAGACCACACACGTCAGAAGGGTATGTTTTGTCGAAGGTGGTCTCCCACGTGCCATCCTCGCGGACCACCTCGAGTGTCAAGTGACCTGCGCGGTGGTTGCACTTGCATTGATCGGGTAGTGCCTGGGCCGCTTCGCACGCAGATGGGGCATAAACCGCGAGGAGTGTGGGGTGGGGGGCTTTAGAATTCACTGATGTACTGAGTGTTTGCAGTCTGGTTTGTTGGATGAGCCGCTTTGTTCCAGGGAGCATCCAGCCGGGCTGGGTTTCAGGGACATGCTAAGGTCTGGCGGGGCGTTCAAGGATCGCGGGTAGCGTGGGGGGCTGGCGCTGTAAAAGGAGGCTGCCTAGCTTTATTTGTGGCGCTTCCCGCTCGCTGAGGTTCGAGCGTTCCCGCAGGGCCTCGGGGGGGTGGGCGCGAGGGCTTGCGACGACCTCTGGAACGCGCAGCCTTCGGAGGGGCGGGGTGGGGTGGGCGGGGGGGGGGGGGGGGGGGGCGAAATCTCGCAGCGGTCCGCGTCTCGCGCGGCGGAGCCGCAAGCGGAGCTGCAGCGCGCCCCGAACGAATGAGCAGGATCCACAGCTGTAGTGACGCGGCTCCGGTCAAGTTTTCGCGAATAGGGCAGTTATTAACGTCGGGGCTGAACGCCGCATGATTCGATGGAGAGGCCGACGTTTTCTGTTCCAAGTGGCGCTGACCATCTCCGACCCTCCGGCACCCAGCAAATAAGAGAAGAACGTGCGTGGATGAGCGAGCGGGAGGAGTGCGAGGGACAGTGACGAGCACAGGCGGGGGGCTAGTGGCAGGGGCCATGTCAGGGGGTTGGGGCGCCCCCGAAGCTATCCATGGTGGTGCCATGCACGGGCCCGCCGCCTTATGAGGTGGCGCGTGAGCGAAGTTGTCTTGCAGCCCCATAGCTCGATTGGGCTTGACCCGGAGAAGCACCTGCCCCCGACGCTCCTTGGCTCGTTGTTCAGGGGGGCGATGGGGGGGCCGTCGCAAGGCCGCGAGGCGTCGATGGGCGCGGTGGAGGCGTTTGACAAGGTGCCCAGGGCGCCGCAATTCCGCGGGGCAAGCCTGACGCAGAGACCCCGCAACCGAACGAGAAGGTGTGAGCGGCGCGGGGTGGAACCCACGCACGCGCATGCGATTAACTTCGAGGCGAGGGAGCTCGCGCCCGCATTCCGCGCGCCTGTGCGCCATGGCAGGGTCTGGCGGCGGTTCGCCAGGGGATTTCAGTGCCTCCGCCGCACGAGCAGCATGTCAGGGATCTGTTGGAAGACCACGCGCTGCTCCTCGCTGATAGATTCTCGGCTGCGCGTTCGACCGCGCGGCGGGATGCGGGCTCCCAGCTGAAGGCCGCACTTGTGTCGGAGGAGGGTTTGCTGCAGGGGCTGCGCGCCGTCGGATTCAAGCTGGGCCACCGCCTGCCGCGGGGGCGACTTGGGATGCGTTGGGGCCGCGGGCCTCTACTAGACGCTGTTTCCATAGTGGCGCAGGTGCGTCTCGCCGTTGCCTTACTGGAGGCCGTCGGCGGCTGGCGTCGCGGCGCAGAGCTGGAGAAAAAGCGTTGGAGCTGGAGAACGAGTGTGCGAGACGGCGCGCAGGAACGCCCCCCCCCCCCCCCCCTCCCCTACCCCGAGCAGGAAGCGTAACAAAATATCGCCAGATGCCCCCCGATGCTGCGAGGTGGGGCTGCCATTTCTCGACGCTATCAGCTCGCGCGCGCCCGCCGGGGATAATGCAACCGTGGCGCTGCAGCGCCTCAACCGCCGACTGCCGGACCCCAGCGACGCGACGACCGTGTGATCCACGGCGGACGCGTGGGATCTTCGCGAGGCGATGCGCGAGGGCCCGCGGCGAGGTGCCGCTAAGTCCCGAAATGGAGGCCCTGCGCGCTGGACACGTTGGGCCCCTGGCGACTCGGGATTTTTGGGGCGAGCAATGACGTCGATCAAGGAGGCCAGGGTGGCGGATCCAAGGATCAGGATGTCCCCCTTCGTTGCTCGCCCCATTCTCCCAGGGGGTATCTCTTCGAGCGCAATTTGCGACAGCTGGGCGCCGCCGTTGCTCTCGGGGGGCCACCGGCGCCAGGTTGAGCGCGTCGCGCTCATCGAGCCGCCCGCCCGGGCGGTGGTCGACGAGGCCCGCGGCCCCCGCGTCTCGGAACAGCACTTGGCCGCGATCGCCGTGGGGGGGGGGGGGGGGCAGCGACGAGCTCCCCGCCCCAGTGATTTCACATTGGATTGAAGCACGGACAAATATTTTACCTTCCGACGCGGTCGTCCTCGATTTCCCCATCGAGGCTCACGACGCCATGAACGGCGCCGTCGATGCGTTCGAGGGCGAGTCGATTCTGCAATGGAACTGGCCGACGGGCAGCCCCTCGGACGGTGACTTCCGCGTGGCGAGATATGGGCGCGCGCGCGCTGGCATGGGCGCGGCGCCGTTCTTGCGCTCCGACTTCGACGGCGCATCGTGCGCAGCGCGCAGTGACGGACCGCGCGGCCACGTTGGAAGGCCCCGCGGCGTTGTTGGTAGACTGCGCAGCGGTGGCGGCTCGTGCGGCATACTTTGATGACCTATACGACCATCCTTGGGGCAAAACAAGAGGTTTCGTGGTGTGTGTGGGGGGGCAACGGCTTACTCGATCGATTTCATTACCGATCTCATTCAACGGGGCACCACGGGACGCCACGGGGCACAACGGGACACCGGGGGACACTTGTCGATCTCATCATCGATCTCGCTATCGATCTCATTCTACGGGTCACCGCGGGCCACCGCGGGACACCTCTCAATCTCATTATCGGTCTCAGTATCGATTTCGTTATCGATCCCACAGTTGATCTCACTCAACGGGACGCCACGGGACACCGCGGGACTCCTGTCGATCGCATTATCGATCTCACTATCGATCTCATTCATTGGGACGCCGCGGGGCGCCGCGAGACACCTTAGGGCACCGCGTCGATCTCAGTTTCGATCTCACTATCAATCTCGCCCAACGGGGCGCCGTGGGACACCGCGGGGCACCTGTCGATCGCACTATCGATCTTGGGACACCGCGGGAGACCGCGGGGCACCTCGGGGCACCGCGTCGATCTCAGTATCGGTCTCACTGTCGACCTCGCTATCGATCTCACTCCACGGGGCGCCGCGGGACCACGCGGGACACCTGTCGATCTCACTATCGATCCTACAATCGAATTAATTTTTTGGGATGCCAGGGGGCACCGCGGGGCACCTCGGGGCGCCGCATCGATCTCAGTATCGATCTCAGTATCAATCTCACTATCGATCTCGTCGATTTCGCCATCGATCTCAGTATCGATCTCACTAATGATCTCACTATCGATATCACTCAGCGGGGCGCCACGGGACTCCGCGGGACACCGCTGGACACCGCGGGGCACCGCGAGCCACCGCAGGATGGGGGATAATCATCTGTCTTGACTTCGCCCTAGCAACGGCGGACGCCGCGGGGCACCGCGGGGCGCCGCGGGGCTCCGCGGGGCACCTCGAGCCACCGCCAGACGGGGGATCATTATTTGTATTTGTCTTGACTTCGCCCTAGCAGCGGCGGACGCCGCGGGGCACCGCGTGGCGCCGCGGGGCACCGCGGGGCGCCGCGAGTCACCGCCAACCGGACCTCGCCCTTGCAACGGCGTGGCACTGCGTGGCGCCGCGAGCCGCCGCCGGACGGGGGAGAAACATTTGTCCTGACTTTGCCTTGGCAGCGGCGGGGCAGCGCGGGGCGCCGCGAGCCGCCGCCGGACGGAGAAGAAACACGCGTTTTGAATTCGCCCTAGCAGCGGC